TCAGCATGATCCAATGGATCATGTGTGACTTGAAATTCGTTCAATTCTGCCGAAACATTCAGATTAATGTTGGCTTCATTGATGTTGCTGTTATTGTTAGGATTGTTGGGTTGTTGAGAATTCATTTTCGATTTTGAATTTTTTTTTTAGATAAAAAGATTCAATATGCGTTTGCATGAAGAAAAAACCGGGAGAGCAATTGTAAAGTGAATTTAGATTAATTGAAACTAAATTTATATGATCCATTTGATAATTGTTTAACCTTTCCAATTTTTTTTATAAATTATTGCTTCAATTTAATTATTTTATAATTTCATAATGACCATTAGCAACAATAACAACAAAATTAATTCTTAGCCAGAAAAAAATTAAATGTAATCAAATTACAATGGAAAACCAAACACATGTGACAACCAAACAAAAAGAAACCATGTTTTTAATCTATTTTCTGATCTCAAGTCAGAAAATCAAACAAAAAAAAACACACAAAAGTCTTCATTGACCTAAAGATCAAACTTTTGGATTTTGGATTACATCATCATTTGAATGAAAGAAAAAAAAGCTAAAGCTAAATATTTTAACCCTTCGTTGACTAAAAAAAAACGCTTGATAGATTTTTTTTAAATAATGAAAAAAAAATTTAATAAATAAAATATACAAAAATAAATTTATGATATTTTCAAATATTTATTCATCATCATGTTCCAGGGAATTATCTATGATGATAAATTCATCGCCCGATTGTGTAGGGCTTGATGGTGGTACTGGTGGTGGTGATTGTCGACGTTGTTGTTGTTGTTGTTGCTGTTGTATCGGTATATCTAATTCCAAAGGATCCAAAACAAAATATTCTTCCGATACATTGCTTGATTCAGTGCTATTAGAATCGGATTCAGTCAATATATCATTATATGATACATTGCCAGAATATTCATGAATCAAATTAGCATTTGTATTCATTGGCACTGGACTAGAGCGCCATGCAACCGGATCGTAATGTGATTGGCCCGTTTGATAGTCCAGCCAATTAAAATCACGATTTATTTGATCTTCATTGCCAATTTGTTGTTCAAATTGGCGCGATGAAACTACATGTTGTGAAGGATCATTCGTGATAATGAAATCCGAAATATTTGATATATTCGGATCGGTATCATTCAAATTCGCCGATACATTATTTTGATTTGTATTTTGTTGTTGTTGTTGTTGATTGTTGTTGTTGTTCATTTTTTGTTATATAAATTCGATAATAATAGATATGAAAAAATGATAAGAATATGATTCGAAAGATAAACAAAGGGTTTGTAAACGGTGTAGAGTTATGAGTAAAATTGCAAAAGCAAAAGCAATAGGATAGTGTAAAGTTATTTTTATTTATTGAAACTATTACTAAATTTATATGATCCATATTGTATTGTTTTTAATTTAAATTGAATTTTATAAACCTTAATCAATTATAATAATTTTATAATGACCAACAGGCAACAACAAAAACAACAAAATTAACTTTTTTTTAAGGAAAAATTAAACGGAATCAAATTACTTCAAAGTTCCTACATGTGTGAAAACATTCAATCTTTCAAATCTATTTTCTGATCTCAAGTCGAAAGTCGGAAACAAAAAACAAAAAAAACACTCACAAAAGTCTTCATTGACCTAAAGATCAAACTTTTGGATTCTAGATTACATCATCATCATTTGAATAAAAGAAAATGAAAGCTGAAGCTGATTATTTTTTAACTTTTCGTCGACGATATAAATGACATTTGATAATTTTTTTTAATATAAAGGAAACAATTTTAATAAATAAATAAAATAAACAAAACAAAAAAAAAAATTATGAAATTTTCCTAAATTTATTCATCATCGTCCGATTGTATGGGAGTTGATGGTGGGGCAGGTGGTTGTCGTTGTATCGGTGTATCTGAATCTATAGAATCTAATCAATAAAAAGTTAATTAAAAATTTATTTAAATTTGAATAAGTTCAAATTTTTACCATAATCGTTATATTCAGAGCTTTCCGATACATTGATTGGTAAATCATAACCAGTGTTAGAATCGGATTCATTGGTTATAATGCTATTGTATGATACATTTCCTGAATATTCATGTATCTGTACAATATTGTTTCCTAAATTTCTTGGCACTGGACTAGAGCGCCATTCAGCATGATCATAATGTGACTGGTCTGTTTGATAGTCCAGCCAATTAAAGTCACGAGAGATCTGATCTTCATTACCAATTTGTTGTTCAAATTGGCGAGGAGAAACAGCATGTTCCAAAGGATCATGCGTTATAATGAAATCAGAAATATTTGATATATTTGGATCGGTTTCATTCAAATTATTTGCCGATACATTGTTCTGATTTGTAGTTTGTTGTTGTTGATTGTTGTTGTTCATTTTTTTTGAGATATAAATTCGATAATAATAAAAATGATAAGAAAATAAAGAGTTTGCAAAAGGAGTAGAGTTGAGATAATAATTGCAAAAGCAATAGGATAGTAAAAAGTTATTTCTATTTATTGAAACTATTACTAAATTTATATGATCCATTTGATAATTGTTTAACCTTTCCAATTTTTTTNGATTGTACGGGTCTTTCTTGTTGTGGTACTACCGGCTGTTGTTGTTGAAGCCGGTCATAAAAATCCGAATCGGAGTAATCTAAATTGAATGATATTTAGTTGATTTAATAAAAAAGAAAAAAAAATTCAATTTCATTTACCTCCGAATTGTTGCATTATGTCAGGTATACTGACATTGACAAATATTCCACAATCTTGAAATGATTGTGATCTTTGATAAGAATAAATATCGGAATAGGACATGGAACGTGCATCATTATATGAGACGTTCCCGGAGTATTCGTGTACATTAGGTACACTTCGTGCCCGTTCAAAATTAATACGTACTGGTGGCAGAGGGCTTGAACGCCACTCTGCATTTCGATTATTTGTGAAATTTGCCGTGGACAATGTAATTGACATTTGATAGAATTTTTTTAAATAATGAAATAAAATTTAAAAAAAAACAATTTACAAAATTTTTGTAAACAATTTTTAAAAAATTTTAATAAATAAATGAAATTATTTATTCATCATCATGTTCCAAGGAATTATCAATGATGATAAATTCATCGCCCGATTGTGTCGGGCTTGATGGTGGTGCTGGTGGTAGTGATTGTCGTCGTTGTTGTTGTTGCTGTTGTATCGGCATATCTAAATCCAAAGAATCTAACACGAAATATTCTTCCGATACATTGATTGATCCAGTTGAATTTGATTCCGATTCAGTCAATATATCATTATATGATACATTTCCGGAATATTCATGAACCAATACAGCATTTGTATTGCTTGGCACTGGACTAGAGCGCCAAGCAACTGGATCGTTATATGATTGGCCCGTTTGATAGTCCAGCCAATTAAAGTCACGATTTATTTGATCTTCATCGCCAATTTGTTGTTCAAATTGGCGCGATGAAACCGCATGTTGTGAAGGATCATTCGTTATGAAGAAATCCGAAATATTGGATATATTCGGATCGGTTTCATTCAAATTAGCCGACACATTGTTTGGATTCGCATTTTGTTGTTGTTGATTGTTGTTGTTGTTCATTTTTTTTTTTTTTTTGAAATATAAATTCGATAATAATAGATAAGAAAAAATGATAAAAAATGATTCGAAAGATAAGCAAATAAACGGTGTAGAGTTGTGATTACAAAAAGCAAAAAAACATAAGCAATAGGATAGTGAAAAGTTATCTCTATTCATTGAAACTATTACTAAATTTATATGATCCATTTGATAATTGTTAAACCTTTCCATATTGTATTGTTTTTAATTTTAAATTTTATTTTATAAACCTTAATTAATAATAATTTCATAATGACCATTAGCAACAACAAAATTAACTTTTTTTTCAGGAAAAATTAAACGGAATCAAATTACAATGGAAAACCAAACACATGTGTGACAAACAAGAAAAACCATGTTGTTTTTAATCTATTTTCCGATCTTAAGTAAAAGTCGGAAACCGAAAAAAAACACACAAAAGTTTTCATTGACCTAAAGATCAAACTTTTGGATTCTGGATTACATCATCAGCATTTGAATGAATTTGAAAAGTCTAGACGTACAGGAATTTCTTTCTTTCATTCGTTTGTCAGAAGCGCAAAATGATGATATAAGATTACGAAAAAAAAGTTTGATAATTTTTCCAAACATTTTTCACATGTTTGTTTGATAAACATAACATAACAAAACCATCAAGTTTCATTCATCAATTGTGTAACTGAGAAAAGAAAAAAAAATTGAGAAAATTTCCTGGCATTTTTTTGCATGAATGAAAAAAACTATAGCTATTCATTTATTGATGGAAACCACGAACCCCAACCATCAATGAATGAATGAATTTTTTTTGATTCAAATCAAATGATGTTTAACATGTTTGCCTTTTTTTCTCCAAAAAAAAAGAATATAAATCATTCAAAAAAGATTTAATGAATGAATGAAACATTTGATGATGATGATGATGACCAGAATTTCTTTTTCATTTTCGGTATCATTTTTATACTTTGAAACATTTTACAAACATTTAACACTCAGTCAATCTCTCTGTGTGCTTTTTCACCGAAAAACAAACCAAAATACCGAAAATAGAATTTGGCTGCTGCTGCTTCTGCTTTCGATTAGTTTGTGTTTCGCAGAGGATTGTTCAAACAAAATTTTTTTCTTTCGGGCGCCATATTGTTTTGCGGTTTTAAAAGTGAAAATTTTCATTGAAATAATAAAAATCTCATATTGAGAATTAAAATAAACAAATTTCATTTGAATGAAAGAAAATGCAAATGTTTTCTTTCATTCATTTAAAATGCAAATTCCGGTTACCCAGAAAAACATCAACAAAAAAAACACCATATAATTATCCCCTAGAGAGAGAGGGAGAGAGTAAGAGTGAAAAAAAACATGTGTCATGTTTGAACATGACAATCCTCAACGCAGACACGTGTCCACAATCACCACAATTGATGACCACGTGTTTTCGACGATAATAATCATCATCATGTTTCACACACAAAAAACAAAAAAAAACGATAAATCTTATCATCAAACTAGAGAAGGGAAAAAAACAACAAACAAACAAACAAACATCTGTATGATGGGTTGGATGGATGGATGGGTGTGAATTATGACCAAAAAAAACATTACATCAGAAAAAGTCGAACAAGCATGATGATGATTACCATGTAATGTAATTCTAATGATGATCATTTTTTTCATGTTTTGTTCGACAAAATGATGTTCGAATGAATTTTACCAGTGAGAGAAATTCACCAACGAATCATCATCAAAATCGAATTGAATCGGATGGTTAGACACCACATATAGTAGCCTGAATAAATATATAACCAGAAGCTTAATCAAATGATGATGATGATGGTTAGTTAGAGAGAAAAAAATTAATGTCAATTTAATGATGGACATTATCATTATGATGATGATCAAACAAACATCAAGATGAATGAAATGAAAAAAAACGATAATCATTTTTACATTGTCGAAATTGTTGAATAAATTTTTTTTTCGGTTCTTGTTTCGATTTCAATTAAAATCAAATCTTTCAAAAATTCAAAAAAATGGTGATTTTTTTTGTTGGTTCAATTTGTAATCCAAAAGCACCTATGTTTTTCTTTCATTGAAGTAAAGTGATAAGCTATCAATATCAATGCTTCGAGCATCTTTATTTTTTTTTACATAAAAGATATTCAGACTTGAAAATCTTCACCATTTGAAAATGTTTAAAGTGGCCAGAAAAACTTGTTGGCAAATTGCAAAATAAAAATTTTATTTTTTGGCGATCAAAAATTCCAAGTCAAGATGATGAATAAATATTGATTGAAAATGTTTGTTTTATTTTTCTGGCCATTTTGGATAAAAATCTGATATCATTATCCATCGAATGACGATACAAATTTTGACATTTCGGCTCTCATCAGACAGGCTACAAGATAACAAGCAAAAAACATTAGGAATTTGGCGAAAAACAAACATGACTAATCTAATCTGATCCGGCCAAGAAGACGACGACGAAGAATTAAAATTGACAACCACAAAAAAAAGTTTCCAGACATTTTTTTAAAAAATCTTTAATTAAACATTTTCGTAAACATTTCTGAAAATTTTTTCTATTTATTTTAACCAAACAAACAAACACTGAACTAAAATGAAATGAATGAATGGACAATACTGATTTATGACGACTTGATTTATTCGGACACAAATCAATCGATCGATCGATCGATCCCCCGTACTACCACCGTATGTGATCAATGTGCATTCAGAAAGTAAACATGGTGTAAGAATGAACATTTTTTTTTCGCACTGTCCATTCATTCATTCATTCATTCATCATCACCATGATCCTTACATCAGATGAATCAATGTTTACACTGTTGGTCACACTTTATCTTTTTCATCATCATCTTCACCATCATCATGGTCTTTTTCTTCTTCGGTAAACATTATCGGGATTCAAAACTTTTTTTCCATTTCAAAAAGTCGACTTTTTAAAATGATAATCCAAAAATTCATATTGCTATGCATATTAGCAAATTGCAACAAATCGATAGAATTGAATCGATGAATGAAACTTAATCAGCAAATAGAAAATCGGATTTTTTGTTTCCCTACACACACACAAACAAACAAAATATCAATGATATTTTAGGCAGGTAAAATGAAATGAAATGAAAAGAAATTCATTCGAAGGTCGTTTTAAGCTGAAATAGCCGAAAAAAATAAACGGCAAACGACGAAGAACAATTTACAAAAGAAAGTATCAAAAATTCTTTAACAAAAATGTTTGAAAGCAATACCTGTGCCTGATTTGTTGTAGTAAAAAAAAAGAAAAAATACCTAGCTAGCTAGTTAGCTCAAAACTCAATCAATCTAGCTCAATCAGTATGTTTAACAAATGAAAATGAAATGAATGGAAAATATAGAAGAATAGAGAGACAGGTAAACAGGTAGCCGCCGCCAACATAATAACAACAATTTTTTTGGGGACAAAAAGAAAAAAAATAATGGTTCAAAAAAAATCGATTGATTGACTTGCAGGGAACTGCAGGTAAAAAAAATATAGATATTTTTTTACCACTATTCTATTCAAAATGTTTGAATTCAAACCAAGAAAAAACAAAATTCACCTGAAAATATTTCATTCAAAAAGAAGCAGAAAAAAAGGGTAGAAATGATATAAAGACATGACTTTCAGATTTTTTTTTCTTCCTAATGTAAAGTAAGGTAAAAAAAAACCGCATAGGTATCGTAGATAATAATAATAATGGTGGAACAATATGGTCAAACAAACACAATGGACCAAATAATGTTTTCAATGTTGTTACCGATCATCATCAAATGATCTATGTGATCATTGATATCATGGTGGTGTTTCAATGGTAAAGATTGGTAACCCACCACCATTATTATTACCACCATGATCACCACCCTATTCCAAAAGGTGATCTGAATTTTTTTTCTTTACATTTCATTTCACCTTTCTCCAGTTTTCGTTCACCAGTTTTCACATTGAGCCATAATTCTTTCAAACAAACAAAAATCATGATAGTTACGAAGAAAAAAGAGTTATCAAAAATTTTCTTGGCAAAAAAAAATGTTTTGCGTTGGCGATTGACAATCTAATCTAATCATTCATATATTTGTGTAATTACACAAATATCGAACATGTATTTCGCCATTAATATAATGATTACAAGGATTTTCTTTTCTTTTTTTGTAAAATCCTTGTAATCATTACACAAATATGAATCAATCGCTTTAGGACACATGAATGAACCCTCATAATAATAATAATAATAATCATCATTATCCATTAAAACCGATCAATTTGATTTTGTTCAATAAAAAAAAACGAATTTTGTTGTTGTTGTTGTTACAAAACCAACAACAACAACAAACAAAATATAAGGGTAATCAACAGCAAAACGAAACGAAAGAGATACGTTAAAAAAACAACAACAACAACTCAATTATCAACGGTCAGTATTTTTTTCAAGGGACCAAAGTTTT